CAAACTCTGCATGGCCTTTTAACCTAGGTTGCGCAAGCCTCACCGGCATTAGCATTTTGACCGAGGGTGAATCGGTACAATTCCGGACACTAGGAATTGGTCATATTTTTTTATGGCGACTTTGGTTGAGGCCAGGGTCGGTGATAATTCCAACCGGTTTTGTATCGACGAGTATTACATGGACATCTCCCATTATGATCCGTTTAGAAGTAGTATTTGAGTCTAAGGAATCAGGATTCAAGGCTAAGTAAGCGTTGAGGATTGTCCAGCTATACTGCACACTGTATAGACAAAGCAACAATTTGTTTTGTTTTTTTCCCAAGACAATTGTATTGTTAGATTAACAGCGAGTGTGGTAACCTAACCACAGCTAATGAAGGCTCATACAATTGCATTGAGGAAGTTTCCAGTGCGGGTGTCTACATGCGCGTGGGTGTGTTACTGGGCAGGATGTGTGGCTGCGGAGTGGGGGATATACCTCGTGCTCATGCTTAAGGCATGTGCAACGGAAATGGTTCACTAGAGATCTCCACATTGGAATAAAATATATTGCGTCTGCACCACATGTTAACGCAAATTTGAACCATTCTTCCGTGTCATACACGCGCGTGCGCCTGTCGAGCAGTTCTGCACATTTGGTAACGGTCACAAATGAACTTCACAAGGACATTTCTGCCAATGCTGTTAAAAACCCCGACCCATGTGTCACCATAATTTCCTTCCTACTGCTACAAAAAACAATGCTTTATGTGCGGCTAACATCTGACCTCCAAGGTCTCCTACTTTTACAATATCCCACTGTCTGGCTTTAGGTGTTCCCATTGCTTGCGGACTTATGGATACCACTCCATTGCTTCTTTCCAACGCAAATGTATCCTCTCCTCAGACCCTCCGCTGTTTTGTCAAGGGTCACCGCAGTTGTGTGTCCTGTGCATGATTCCCAAACGCTTTACTGCAAGTTTTATGTTCGTGCCAAATGCACAACAGATGTTTGTTAATAGGAAATGGATTATTTTTTGTTGTTAAAATTAAACTTAACAGCATTCCAGCCATTCTCAACCCAACAAAGAATGAAGGCTTCACCAGTCACCACGGTGGTGAGATGTTGACTACCTTGCCTGGTATATAGGAGGTTTTGGGTTCGATCCCCACCCTGATGCCTGTATATTTGGGGTTTGCATTTTTTTATCCCCGTGGTCGTGTTGATTTTTTTTAGTGTCCTCTGGTTTTTTTTTACTCAAATTAGAATTAACATGCATTTAGAGTATTTGGTTGCTTTAAATTTCCACATAAGCCACTTTGTGGCCGGGTCGCTTAAAAAAAAGCTATATAGTTAAGTGAGCGTTACCTGTAAAATAAAAATAGTTCAGTTTATTTTTCGATTTAAAGCTTTCGTGACTGCAAGGATTCATCTTCTTTGGTTCTTTCGGTAAAGTCACGTAGAATGAGAATAAAATAATAAAATAACACAATATTTAACAAAATAACACTATTTTATTATTTTATTCTCATTCTACGTGCCTTTACCGAAAGAACCAAAGAAGAGTTCAGTTTATATTGGTCTTTTTTATCATACTTCCCTACGCTGGTCGAGTCATCACCTTGGTCACTGCTGTTAGCTGCGGCTGAGACTCAAACTCGGGTCGTCAGGTTCAAAGTGGATGTAGTATAACTACTACTGTCGCTATACCACCAGTTACAGATATTTTATTGAATTTTATGTCCTTTCTGTCTCTGAATTTTGAATGTACTGCACTGCCATTCCTTGTGATTAAAACACATTGGCGCAATGATCACTTGATGAGACCTACTCACCGGTCATGAGTCAACTTCCCATCAATCATGAAACCAGGAAGTTGACATTGTTATGTTTAATTGGGGCCAAAGGCGCACAGGGATAAAGCAGCTCCTGCAGCAATCCTCGAATGGCTTCGGTTCACTACGTCCGTGGTGAGAAATAAGTCCTTCATACATGCAGCATACAGAGTCTGGGTAGTGTCTTACAGTTGCACGGTCTGGCTTTAACAAAATCTGTCAATGTTGGGCAAAGTACAGTGGGGGAAACACGCATTGCTTTTTTGTTTGCTTGCCACAGCCTACCAGAAACAAAATAAATAACGCCTGTTTCCCATATTTGTATCTCCACACAAGAAAGTGTTTTATTTACACAACCCATTAGCCACACCGCCTGCTTGCAAGTGCATGCTATTGGCAGCGTTGATTAAATACAAACTCTGGACTGGGTTTACACATTCATAGTCTCATCAGCAGTTAGGTTTGCTTCAACCAATGTTGGTGAACTGTCCGTTTTTTGTTTCATAAGGAAGGACCCGTTTAAAAAGTAGGCACAGCTTTTAAACCAATTTCATTCGTAAGGCCTGTTATAAATTAGCCTTTAAATCATCGGGGGGGGGGGGGAATAAACTCAACTTTTTGTAAAGGATCGTGCTTGAGGCCAAATGGTCTGGTTGCACTGTGCAACGAGTGGGGAAGGGCCCCTTGCCTGGGAGAGGCTCGCGCGCTGTGCGGTGTTCCGTGGGCTGAGCGGGGCCCCACGCCACACAAGCACTTTGTGAGCGGGCGTGCCCGAAGTTCGGGCCGGATTCCAGTTGACGCGGCTCTTGTGTCGAGCACGGAGCATTTCATGGCCATATATGGTGCTTGGTGGCTAGGGAGGGGCGGGCGGCCGGGTCGGTTCGTTGCAGTTTTTGCTGCGAGGTGGGAGTGTCCCGTGATGGTCCGTGCAGACGATGCTGAAACAATCGCTGGAACTCTTCTTTGCAGAGCGGAAACGGCACATCTGTTGGTCTTGGCTGCGATTGGCTGTCCGCTCCCCAAAATGTAATCCGGTTCCCTTGGTATCCATTAAGTATGCGTGGTTCTGTGTTAATCGTGGAGCTCTATGGTGCCTGCCTATCTGGTTTTTCATTTGTCATCTCAAAAGCAAAGCTGATTTTGCCATGACATCATCTGGCATGTGATCTGCAGGGAATAATTGGGTTTCATGTGAGAAGAAAACAGGCAGCACAAGTATATACTGTCGAATGGATTTGTGTTCTAAACGATTTGACAGTTTATTTTTGTTGCAAGACTTTGGAATTCAAATTTACGGGGATTAATCAATCCAGTGGTCGATGGAAGGGTGTGGTTTCACCATACTAAAGTGTTTATGAAGAGGACGTCCAGGCACCAGTCTTGATAAACATACGCCATTGTTGTCTGTGGCTGGGAATCTGACCAAGGTTGCTAGGTTCAGAGTACATTTCTCGAACAACTGAATCGCCACCCCCTACACCCCACACTATTGAAATATAGGCAATATAATAGACAATATTGTTGCATTTTGTAACGGATTAATGTCAATTAGAGGGAGTAGTAAATGAGACTTTTTGTACAATGATGTTGCCAGTAGCTGTCCTAATTGTAAGTTAGCAATGATGTCTGTTTGTAATAAGCTTAGTTTAACACGATGCAAATTGGTGAACAAAATGTTATGGCTGTGCATCAGCTCGTAGTAAATTTGTTTTAATTCCTTAAACCAAGTGTCTGGATTTTAAATAACACTTGCAGTCTACAAAACATCACCACAACATGCTAGTTCAATGCCCCAACACGTGCATGTTATTGCCTGCGGCTTACGAAACGAGTGTGCACTCAGCTGCAGTAGTGCACCTTGCCACTACCTGTAACATGTGATGACTTGCCGTTTCCACTAGGATACCGATAATGTCATCGGTGTACACTTTGACGCAACCGACGCGCATTTTAAGCGTGGGGAATGCAAGGAAGGTTCCTGTTATCTAAATCCATCGCTCTGGTGTTGATAAAATCACTTAATTTTTGTGCGTAAATGGTGAACATCCTATTGAAATACTAACCCTTACCATGGGAATGTGTAATTTCCAACAAGGAATCAAAACCATCATTTAAGAAGTGAGTTCCATCCCATTACTTGTTCGAGCAGGGATAGATACACTTGAGTTCAACTTTGTCATGTGAACCGTATTGTATTTGTGCTTGTTCTGAATGAGTGTTGCATTTATTATTTGAAACTCTTCTCTCTGGAATGTTGGCCGTGATTGGTTATAAACCAGTCATCTGCTTACCTCACAGCCTTATCTCGGATAAATACGGGGCAGCCATTGTTTATCTGAATGATCTAACTCTTTGATTGGTATGGGGCAGAGGTCGACAACCAAACTAAGAAGAAGAGACTTTTATTCGTATTCGGTAAAAACCTTTTAAGAACCGAAATGCACTTGTATGTGGGAAGGCGGTCCTTAATAAATAACGTCACGAAGCAGTCCTTAATGAGCCAAATACGGCTCGAGCTGCAAGTTGCCGACCCCTGCTATGGTGAGTTGTGACCTTAATCCCAACCGTGTTGACCTGTCCCTGGGCACTGATTTAACTTGCAGGTGCAGAAGCTTCAGTAACCTAACAGAATATAGTTTGTACCCAAAATAACGTGGACGGACGTGACATGTCCTGCCTATAATGGGTTTTTTTTCATGGGGCATGTTTTAATACTTGAAAGAGAAAATAAAAATTACCTTGCTAAAGATGTATAATATGAATTGTGGAGCACTCCAAGATAAAATCATAAACTTGAAAAGAATTACATTTGGTCTTCATGGACACAACGGGAGGCCCCCCACTCCCCTGAATTAGACCCTCATTTCACAAAAGCCTGTTTTTCAAAAGTCTCCTGGCATTCAGAAAAGGTATTTGAACAGCAAGGTAACATATTTGCCTCGTAGAGTAAGGTTTGGAAACAAAATTAGAGTGAAGGTGACTCGCTCACCACAGCCGCGCCCAGCAGCTGGGTTTGCTGTGACCCACGGTTTCTTGGGTTTACTTAACTGTTACATCATTCAATGCTTTTTTATTGTAACGAGGTTAATTTGCTGAACGTTTGACTTTGCTCTGTGTGGCACAAAGCATTTGAAACTTCTCGTTGTAATAATTGTCCGTCCCTTGGTGGCACTTCCTCCTTGCAGGCCGAGGCTGATGTGGCATCGCTGAACAGGCGCATCCAGCTGGTAGAGGAGGAGTTGGACAGGGCGCAGGAGCGCCTCTCCACCGCTCTCCAGAAGCTCGAGGAGGCTGAGAAGGCGGCTGATGAGAGCGAGAGGTGAGATGCGTTAAGGAACGGCAGTGGTGTCGCGCACCTCCACTTTAGCACGGTTGGCTATGGACTTTGCGAAAGAACTGTGGGGGGGGCGGGAACCTAGCGTGTGTGGTGAGGCGTTGTGCGATTGCCTGCGTTGTAGTTTCTCGTCGAATTTACATTTTCCGCCATCTGAATGGATGGTGCCGGTAGTTGGCGCTTAACCCGTGATCGTAAAGTTGGGGAGTTCAACTTTCGTTCGGGGATCGACTTGGGTCTATCGTTTCTCTGGTTTAGATTTGGCGTGACACCAATTGGTGGGTTATTTGTTGTGGTAATCCTGATCCTGTAGGGAGACTGGCTTCTTCCAAAGGAATGTGTAATTTTCACCACTGTCCCTAGGCCACTCATCAGAAATGGGCACTGCCTCGCACTCACTTGAACAGACACTGACTCTATCGTTGACCTACATGTAGTGTTCATATCACGAGGTGGTTTTCTTTCCCTATACAACTTAAATCATGTGTGCAGCACACTTGACCACTTTATAAATGTGTGTAAGTATACATTCTTGTTTTATTCTTAGTTTTGACGAGTTGAAACAAATCAATTCCCCTCAATGGGTGGGGGTTAAAAAGTAATGCCACATCAATACAGCTAATCATTCATTTAAATTGTAATTTTCGAGAATATAAATAACTAAATAGATAAGCAGAACATACGTCTCCTTCAAGTATGTCTTTGCATAAAAAAGTGTATTTTTCACACAACCCATCATCCTCGGGGATTATTTTTTTTGAAGTACAGATATATGAAGGAGACGGGCTTCTTAACTTCCTTTGCTTCCTCTCAGTATATTCGCATTACAATGCAAACTCTTGCATAGATGATGGAACTTGAGTTCTCATTAATAATTGCCTTGGGGGCTATTGAACTGAAATAATGTCACTGCTGTGGTGCTGCATGTGGGTTGGTGTCCTCCAAACGCTCATTACGTCATGTGAATAACTAACTTAAACACATTCGTCAACACGGCCCTTAAAAGTAAAAAATATATAATCAGCAATGTTTGGGCAATGGCCTTTCTTCATAGCACAGATGATATTCTCACTTGGCCAGCAAACATTTACACACCCCATGCCGAGGGTTAGTCAAAATAGCAATTGCTGAATAAATAAAAACATTTTAAATAATCCACATGAAAGTGGACCTTGAATTATGCTTTGGCACACGGAATAGATAAAGGTAATTATTATCCATGTTTAATAATTAGCAGTTTGTAAAAGCTACGTGACCTGGTGGTTGTGTTCATTGGATATGCACAAGTTCTGCTTTACAGTGGATATTGACTTTTGTGCCCATTGATTGCTTAAGTTTGTGTTATTACCTTGACAGAATGTTTGTCTATTGAATCATACCAAAGTCTTTTTCAAAATGTACAGCATTTTGGCAATTGTGCACAAACAAATCAATTACCTCCTGGCAATATTATTATTCATCCTCGGCTCAAATGTGTTAGATGTGTAATTCGCTGTGTGAAAGAAGCCGTTTCCGAATATTTATAAAGATTTGGGTGTTATTCCTAAAGTTATTTTAATCGAAATGGAGATGCGTTCCCTGTCATGTTGTCTGCCATTAATTAATTGTCTGACGTATTAGTCACTAGCTTTGGATTCTTGTCTTGGATTAATACACGGCCTATGCGGAGGGTGGGGGGAATGTGTGACATCAGCAGGCACACTGCGTGACGCTGCCGCATGCGGGTGACATCACAGATGTGACGTCACCACTCACTTGCCGTGAAAAATATATCCATTATTGCGCCCCCCCTCCCCCAAAATACAAAAGTCTATTTTTATACTTTTTGCATTGTGTATAGTCTGGAAGCTACCCACATTTCAAGTTTTGTTGCATGTTGGGAAGTATGCAAAAAATATCGAACAGACACACATTCACAAATTTCCCTTTTATATATAGATTAGTTTCAGTGCAATACATATTTGTCTGGAGTCTATCCATGGGTCGTTTTAAAATGGGACACCTCCAGATTTAACCAACACCCAAAACACACCGGTGCTGGTGACGTGGTGTTTGTATGTATGTTGAACTTTCTCATTGTACGTAGCCCACCGTGCTAATCTTCCAGGGGGAAGACAACAAACCAAACCCAAAAAGCTGTTCTAAAGAAATTAGTTTTCAATCTCGATTATTTTCAAGTGCATGACTCCCAATGGCTTCCTAATATCGAAAGGAAGAGCATTCCAGATGGTCGCAGAAGTGCAAGTGTGTGATGTGTTGACCATCTTTGTTCGATGGCTCGCCAAAAGCTGCTGCTGTGAGGATGACCGGAGTCCACCTGATGGTTTATACTTCTTAATGAGATCAGCCGAGGTATTGTGATTAATGTGGTTTGCACTTTGTGTCATTAGTACGACCATATGATGTTTTCGTTCGGCAGTCGGTAGCCAATGCAGCTCGGCAAGGAACTGGACGGACACGGTCGGATGTGTGCCCTGTCCCACAGAGGCATGAAGGTGATAGAGAACAGGGCTTCCAAGGATGAGGAGAAGATGGAACTGCAGGAGATCCAACTGAAGGAAGCCAAGCACATCGCCGAGGAGTCCGACCGCAAGTATGAGGAGGTGAGGTCATCTTTAGCCACTTACTACTTCCCTGTCCACTTTCGACCTGCCTGAGGTCACGGATGACACCCCTCGCCTGTCTCCCCTTGTCATGCCCGCCGGTGCCTCTTTCTCCCTCCCTCTCCCCTCCGTCCTCCCTTCTCCTGGGTGCAGGTGGCACGTAAACTCGTCATTCTTGAGGGAGATCTAGAGCGGACAGAGGAGCGTGCCGAAGTTGCCGACGCGTGAGTCATCATTTGTGACGCTCGATTTGCTCCATTTTTGTTTCTGCACGAGTGGCCAAATGTTTGCTCCATGTGGAGATTGCACCCACGTTATTATTTTTTGTTCTATAGTAAATAAAAGCAAATTAAAACCCTTGCATGTTTTTAAGACTAATCGGTTACAGCATAGAATTATTTTCATTTGGTTGAGTGAAATTGTTGAAATTCAAACTAGGTCTAAGTATCCAAATTAAACTAGTTTTGCTTTCTTTTCATTTTAATCAATTTATTTACTTTAAAATTAAGAAACTTATTTAGAAACTATTAACATATTTAAGATGTATCACACCTGCAATTTGTTTTGGCCTATATATAGTGCTCATTCAGTGTTATCAGAAATCTTGCCATTTCATTATTTAATGAGGTAAATCCTGGTCAGGGTCAGCTTTACCCATCTCTCCTGGATGTGTAAAATATTCACCCACAACTTGGCTGGTTCCATCAGTGTCCCATCCCAGCGACAGACCTAATGAATTTACAAGACCTGGCTCAGGACCGTTATTGAAGATTTCTGCTGCCCAGTGCCAATCTGAGCATAGAAGGGGTGTTACTTGTCACTTTTGCAATGTCTAACTGTTAATACAAGTCGAAGAGTGTTTTATAATTCATTTTCTGTTTGCAGTGAACACCGTTTAAAAGCTCATCGTTATTTTCTACTAATCCGTTTAAAATGTATTCCTTTGGTTTGCAGTTTTGTTGGTTTTAATTCACACGTGTGTGTTTTTAGTTCAAAACTAACCGAGTTTGTTATTTGTTGCATGCCGATTTGATTGCTGCCCCGACCCCTCACTGTGATACTAACAGCCAAGTCAGGCAGCTGGAGGAGCAGCTAAGAATTCAGGATCAGCACTTGAAGGGCCTCATGGCTTCTGAGGAGGAGGTATCATCACTTAAATACAAGTGCAATGATTAAACCTATCTTAATTTCTATTTTCCACTGGCACAACGGAGCCGTTGTTGGGTCAGACGGCACGGTTTTTTTTCCCCCACTGTCACAAGCCGAGCCATGCTGCTGACGTAACTCGTAATGCGCGCAATGTTAATATATACGTAGATGACGCGGTGACCTCTGCGTTCGAGCTGCGACTCAAGTCGAGAGCCACACACCCTGACTACTTGCCTTGGATCCGTAGCCAGATTTGGGTGTCTTGCGAGGCCAGCAAAATGCCCACTCGATTCTTGGCTCGGTAAAATTCGTGGGGGAAGCCACCCGTGCCTTGCCGACTCCCGCCCTGTGGTGGCACGACTCGAATGTGCAAGTGGAACCGTAAAGCATTTGAATGAAGGCCCTCATATCTCATCGCAATTCCTCCTGCCATTTTTTTCCCCCTCACTACTCCTGCAGCTTTGCGTGTCCATGTTGTCCTCTGGCATCTTACGGGAGCCTTTCTGTGTCTTCTGCCCTGTGCCGCGGTGTTTATTTTTCTGCACCGTTCAGGGCGTATTTGCACAGCTGCCAACTGTACCTATTTTGACAGAGCTATCTCGGTCCTTCGAGTGGATATCTCAGTCTTCTGATATTGGTCGTGCGTGTAGTCCATGTGTCATAGTAGAATTTGTGTGACATGTTCGGATTACTTTTTTATTTTTAATTTGGATAATAAACATGGATTGTGCAAGCAGGGTTATTCACCTTTTAGTGGCATTTTTAAGAGTGGTATACATCAGGCTTTGCCATCTCAGGTGGTGGTTCCGACAAGTAAATTACATTGTCTTGACCCTTGGACTAATTCGTTTTGTTAGAAAATGTTGAGAAGTAGATGGTGTGAACGTTATACAGTAATACTATTATTCTTCCTTGATGTTTGGTCAAGGAAGAATAATAGTCCAGAGCCAAATACATCCTCAGGATTTTATGGTTTTGTGCTCATTCTCAACGCTCTCGCCCAGACTGTGGGGGGAGGTGGGCACCTTTAGAGTTCACTTCTAATTCCTAAGATCACAGTTCCAGACTAAAGCACCCATAGGGATTACTACATTTCATTGCCAATTCCTGAGCTTTCTGTTCCCCCCTCCCTGTGGATTGACTCCTCCCCATCACGGGAAGGTGGAAGTTACACCACTAGTTTAGGAGAGCAGCACCTCCCTCCAACTCCCTTGAGCAGGAAACCTCTTTGAGTTTATTTGACTCCCTCAACAGGAACACTTGGCCTCTTCGAAATTTTAAGACGGACAAGAAAACTTTCCGATTCTTGTGGGGAAAAAAATACAACTTGCACTCGCCTTGTTGCAGCTACGTTTTCAGTTGGCAGGTTTGCTTTGCCTCAATCTAAAACTCTATTCTGTTTTGCTGCTGAAACTGTTGCACGGTGGTAATCGCTTAGTCCAGACAGTTAAAATATTTGGATAATATTCTTTGTATATAATAATAATAATAAGAGCCTCGCTCTCTCGCTTAATCTGTGTGGTGCTCTTGTCAAGAGTACTCCGCTTGCAATCGCAATGTTGCAAAACTTCAAATCCTGATCAGGGGTTGGTCAGCTCGCTCGATGCCCTTTTTAGGGCTTTGTAAATGAAACGGGCAACAGTGCAGGGACGTCATGAACAGTGGTCATGGTGTGGATAGGCTGGTCACTGCCACACGTGCAATTTCTTTCACTGAAAGAGCTGCCAGTGGAGATGAGCGTTGCTGCACAATTGATTTTTAGGTCGGGCCGCGTCATAATGATCTAGCCAAATTTGTGTCGTTTTAGAGACGCTTCCACCCGACGCATCCAAATCGCATTAAATTGTCACGAGCACAAGCGTCTATACCGGTTGAATTATCACCATTTGAGCCCACGAGGGTTGGCGCTCTTTAGAAAGGAGATGACGACTTCTCACGTTTATTAACGGTTCCTAAGACGATCACTTGCCGTGCTTCCCTTTCCCTTCTTGGCCAGAGTAGTACATGCTGCCCTGGCCTGCCCCGCCCTGCCCCCCCCCTCTCTTGCCAATTTCCTTTTTCACATTTTTCTTTCTCATTTCCGCATTTGTCATCCTCTGTTGCAACTGCGACAAACCGCTACTCCTCCTGCTCGCTGCTCCTCCTGCTCCTCCTCGTCGATCTCGCCTTGAGCAGCAAGTGCTCTGAGCTGGAGGAGGAGCTCAAAGTTGTCACCAACAACCTCAAGTCTCTTGAGGCGCAGTCAGACAAGGTAGGGTGGGGGATCGGCTTCTTGCGGACAGAATTCCGTTGAGCCCCGCCGAGCAGTGCTTTAAGCGGTGGGCCAAGGCCCGAGAGAAGGTGGTGGCCTTTTTGAGGTTTGTTCGATTTTCGGAATTGGCAGAAGTGCGCATTAAATGCAAAACGATTGACATTTGCAGCCCCATTATTAATCTGCTGCTGGGTGAAGGCATCCCTATGCTGCTGAGTCCCGGTAATAGGTTTTTGACTTTTTCTAGACGGGCGTCTCTCAGGATAATGACCTTATCTTGAACACAATTGTCATCAACGCTACCCTTAAAGGAAAAGCATGTAATAGGCTACGTTTCACGTAATGGCCCTCGATAGTAAAATGTGTGCTTTTCTTTTAGAACAGTGTTATTGAGGATTTTTTTGTGTTTTATGGTTATGTGTATACCTAAGACAACACCTAGGTTTCAATTAATAGTTATCGCCCAGTTACCAATTAACTACCTGAATCGCCCAGCTCTGTCGTACATTGCAGAAATGTAGTGAATGACTGATAGGTGGTCAAAAGGCCTTTCAGGAGCAATGTAGAGTTGGGTAAGGGAGCAGCCTATTCATTTGACTCCCGGAGTGGTTCTGTGGTGTCACCTGGTGCTGTTGCCTTAATCCCATGAGGATCTGCTGACTGGGAGTTCCAGAAGGACACTTATTTTTTACCACTAGTCAATACTTGTCCAATAACATAATTTAAATATAAATAGGTGGTCCTTTAATATAAAAAAAACATTGTTATTGTTTTAGATATGCCAATATTTAATTTTCTCTCGCTGTCCTTTCTCATTCTGTCCTTTCTTCATCTGACTTTACTTGTACGATTCTATCCACATGTGAGTGAGTTGAATGAAAATGTAATTTTGCAGGTGGGCTTGCCTTGCGGTTGAAATTAATTCTTCTTCTGTGGATCTCATTTCCTTAACAGTACTCGCAAAAGGAGGACAAATATGAAGAAGAAATTAAAATTCTTACTGACAAGCTGAAGGAGGTTTGTAAAGTTGTCGCGCCAAAGTTATACGACGCTTGGTCTGTGCTGTCAAACTTTGTACCAAACGGCCGAATATTGTATGTTGGTTATGTGTAGTTGACTTTCTGTTGCTAAACTGAACGTTTGCAAGGTACATATCAGCTGCTTTCTTTCATTCAGTAGGCATGGTGACTATCTAAAACATTTACACAAAGAACTATATTTGAAGAATACCCTGCGTGTTTATTTGGGTTCAAGGTACATATTGAATCTGTACATTATGAAAGGCACTTGGGGGAAAAACCCGAATGTCCTGTTACTCGGTTATACATTTTGATCCGTGTATATTGAGTGAAAATGAAATTAAACTTTATTGTTCGCGTATCAATGCCCGTTTGTTAACGTAGTGGGCAGTACTGTAACTATGGTTTGTTGGAAGCTCTTAAGTTTTAAGATACTTTTTGGGAAGTGTCTTAAAACTTAACACCCTATATAAACACGTCTATTAATAACTCTCTTCATACGCTTCAGTAATTTTGCTGGAGCAGTCAACACCTGATGACCGGTTGCTTGTGTGGCTTCCAAAACGTTGTGATTTAATTTGTTTTCATTTTAATTTTTCACTTATGTGACTTTACTGAAAAAAGAGTGTGGATCCTTGCAGTCACGAAAACTTCAAATCTAAAATTTCCATATTGTTTAACGTTTTGGAACTGTTATAGTCTTAGAGGGGGGGTGGGCAGACAAAGGTTGTATGGAGTGAAGCGTTAATGTCGCTTGGCTTGGTCCAGCTATTTATGTGTTTCACCTGGCACACACGTTCATGTCTCCCTTGTCGACCACATCCAGGCTGAGACCCGTGCCGAGTTTGCCGAGCGTTCGGTAGCCAAGCTGGAGAAGAGCATTGACGACCTGGAAGGTAAGAGTTCCATTCCTCACACGAAACGGGTTTTGTCGGAGGTTACCAGGAAAAGAGTTCATTCAAGTGTTAACCAAGCAGCCAAAACTGAAAATAGTTGGTGTTGCTGTAATGCGATAAAATTGTACACCCGGCGAAATCACCGATCAGAGATTTGCTCATACATGGAAGAAAGTAGGTGTGGCCTTGGCCGAAGGCACGTGTCTTTGCCCATTTATGGTATTTTGGATCGTTAATCGAGTTTAATTGCATCGATTCCGCTCAGTCAAGCTATAATAAACACACGTAAAAAAAATACCGGGTTAATCGCTGTCGACTCATTGCCAATCGATCCAGCGATCGAGTAATGATATAACACGCCCCCTTCATTTGGTTGGCTAAGATCAGCAAGATCGGTGATTACGTCGCAGTCCGTTTTTATTGTTTCACAGCGTCCCTGCTTCCGTGTAACTTTGCCCGCAGCTGATACGTCCTGAGGGGACATCTCATCAGTTTTGCCACCGTGTACAACACGTGGCCTCTGGTGCTTAAATATAGCACCGTGTCTCTTCACGCTTACCCGTTGCCACTCAGTTTGATTGTGTGCCAAAGTCTCCTCTCCTTGGTTGAGAGTTTTTGCAAGGTTAATGCCCTCACGCAGGGGTGAAAGTAAAGTAGTAATGTGTGTGCAGTCTGTTGGACGAGAAGACCTCGGGAAAATAGTTTGGTTCCGGTTTCCGAAATGCGTTTTAGTGGAATAGTACACGAGGCACTGGGCCCCGCGCACTTGTGTTGGCCGCATGGCATAGTGCGAACAACCGAGAATGCATAGCACGATGAGCTGAGGGAGGTACATGTGTGAGCTACAGCGTGTGAGTTTCACTGGGTGATTGAACATCCCCAAGGGGCTGTGATATTTGAGGAGAGTTGTAGCAACACTGCTTTTTACTTTGTTCCGTAGTTGGAAACATAATAATTTCAGTTCCCACGAGGCATTTTATACATTTCCTCTGTAGTCACACAGGTCCCACACCCACAATTTTGTTATCAAATTAAAGCTACACATGTCCTCTAGAACAACGATGTTTAAAAGTTTTAACAGTTTTTATAGTTTTAACCAAAACACTAACAAAAGTTTAAAAATGGTACCCTTGTGTTTTTTTTTGTAATTTATATCATCGAGACGGACATGGAAAAAATAATCAGGGTACAAAGGATTTCCGCAAATGGGTACACGTGAGTGGATCTTAGAGGACAGCTTCGTTGTAATCTAAGGTGGGAATTATAAGCAGAGGGAAGTCGATGCCTGCTCGGTTTATTAGTACATTGAAGCCAACATTTGCTAGTGCTCATGCCACATCCAGCAGCTTACCCTCTCCTGCCTTGCGCAGACTTGGTGAGATCAGGACCCCTTCAGGTATCACCCGCCACAGTTCTTGTCCACAGCAGACAATTGCACTCAGATGGGTTACTGAGTTGCCAAAATAACAGCAGACAATAAAAAAAAACCTCTTAAATGTTCAATGAAGCTAATCCGGTCTGGATGGGTGAGCGAGAGAGGACGGGGGGGGCTCGCAGTTGGAAGAATGCGAGTTGGGGGTTAACTCGGCCCGTCCACCCTTCTGGTTTCGATAAAATGAATGCCACTTTGTGGGGGAAGTAAAGTGGTTGTCTCATGGATATAACCACCCCCGACAATGGAATTTGGAATCTTCAACATTGGCTCAGTCTGGAAAATCACTGATAATTTTTGAGTGAAACTAAAGTCACTCAACAAAGATTGAAAATAGCAGGAGAGAAATGAGGCACCCTGAACAGCTGATGTTACCATTTTGGATATGTATGATTAATTATAGTTCGAAAGAACCATTGAGAAAGATGTTTGCAAACCTCATATTTCAGTTTTAAGCTGGTGCTAATGTTCAAGGCAGAGTCGTTTTGAAGTGAGGATTATTGCACTATTCCAGTTGACCATGCGGGAGGGGTTAATGCTAATATTTCGTCTAAGAAGTTGAAGGTTGTGCGCGAGGTGTTGTTTTCATCAGCGTGGCACTTAAAATGTATGGTGGTGATATAAAGCGTAAGGGAAAACAGGTGCCCAGTGGCTTGATGCTCGCTCATCAGAGAGCTCATGGAAAAATGTTTTTGTCAACGCGGCCTCGGCTCCCAGTAGTAACCTTTCGTAAATCTGCACCCACTTAGCGAACGTACGTGGTGGGGGGAAGGAGGCATGCCTGTGTGTGTGTGCCTTGCCCTTGTGGTGCAGTAGCAAGGATCAAGCATAGGGATTGTTCTGTGGAGGCAGCTCAAAGAAACCTACGTTATCTTTTTCACCCCCAACATAAATTTCAGCGTGACACCCAAACTGCCTTGGTCAAATCGTCAAATAGTTCTGTCAAGTTGTCTGAGCTTTCATAATTACAAAGTTCTTAATCTCCTAATGTTATGCCGATAGCACGTTCAAACATGATTGGAGAGGAAATCAAACCTTGCAACTATTTTAACAAACTTTGAAGTTGTTGAAAGTGTTGTAACCCTTGTGAGCCAACTATAACAGAGTTTTTGTAGCTCGTGATAATGCAGGAGAAATTCAGGCTTGGTGCCTCGCTCTCGCGACCAGCCCACTACCAGGTCTGCCATGTGAGAATACCATTTGACAAGAGCCGCATTTTTTCTGGCAGGAAGCACTGGCTTGAAGTGGGTGATGCGTTTGTTGTTGAAGGTCCTTGGGGTCGGGCTTACGCACCCAACCCACACGCCCCCCTTGTTACAATGGCCCCGTGTCCCTAACCACAATCCCGGCCACTGTTTTGCACGCCCAGTTTTTTAACAACGACTCTAATGCCAAGTGTTTGGCAGTCCTCATCACAAGCTTGTCTAGTTGCTACAACAATTTTAGCAATAGGTCAATTTAGAATGCTTTTCTGGGGGGAACAGTGGTTCCTTTCAGTAGTGGTAAAATATTTGTCCATTGCTGGCCAAAAAAGTTGTGCCACATCAGCAGTTTTTGGACTGGTATTTATCAATATACTTTTAGGAAGAAAAACAATTTGGGCTACGGGTGAAGATTTGTCACCTTTTAAGAAAACACATGCGCTAGCTTTTTGCGCAAAAGTAATTTTATTTTCAGCTTCGAACATTTGTGAGTTAACATTTCCAACCGTACTTCACTTACGCTTGCTCTCATTGGTTGCTTTCATGATTACCTCTCAATCTAAACTTTATTGTGGGTAAATCTCAAATCCAGATATCTCCGCATTACGAATTTTAATTGTACTACAACTTGCATTCGTGTGTGTGTGTGCGTCTACTCCAGTGTTCTTCGCTAATTTTCAGAGGGAGGGGGGAACTTTTGCCGATAAGACATCAGTGTGAGGGCCGCCACACATTGGAAACAATTGGGGGTTTGCCAGCAGCACGATAGTGATAATGGGGGGGAGTGTTTTCACTCCGTGTGTCTTGTCGGGGGGCCGAACGTCAGGGGCCGCACTATAGGCCACCAGGGGCTCGCCAGTGTCCCGCGGGCCTTGCAATGAAGAACACTCATCTACACCAACTTTGTGTTTGATTTCAGGGGAGCGGGGGAGCTTCCCTCCCTCATCCCCTCACTTATCCCCCTCATGCTGTTTCTCCCTAATTGATCATCTGCTGTTTTTCCTATGTTTAATTAATTTTCTGCATCTCTTGTTATGTTGTTCCTTCCATGCCCTGCTTTGTATGTCTGGTCTTCCCCCGTAGACGAGGTCTATGCTCAGAAACTGAAATACAAGTCTGTGAGTGAGGAGCTGGATCTTGCCCTCAATGACATGACCTCGATGTAAATACTCCTTTCCTGCTCTGCCCTTCTTTGTTGTGCTGCTGCTGCCTGCTAACTTGGCTTCCTCCCTTCCAGTTTTGTTTAAATCTGGCACACTTGTCTCGTCGCTTGAGATTCCGCGCATCGCTATCTTCACGACAGCTAGAGCCCCGCAGAATCGTCACGTCAAGGCCAATCTGCAAGCGATAGATAAGTAGCTTAGTTAAAATTCTGCTTACACGGTGAGAAGTCCGTTCAGAAATGGGAGCCCCCTTGTTGTTGGTCACGGATTTTTTGTTATATTTACGATGGAAAAATAGTTTTGAAGTGTGTGAACCGTTTTACCCACACGTCAAATTATGTTTTCCTTCTTAATATGCTCCTCATAAACCTCTAACCTTAAAAAATTTTTAGAGGCACCACTTGCAAATACAAATAAATGTCCTCGCATTCAGAAGAAGAAAAATGTATAATCCAAACCGTCTATGCCCATAATTTAATTAAAATGCGGTGCTGACAAGAAGCCGTAATTTTCGATGGTTGTCACCAGCTGCTTTATGGTGTCGTTAATATTCATTGCAAACTGCATTGGTGGAGTGGGATTTTATTAAATGTTTTGCTTTGCTTATTACTACAAAGATTGGCAACTTTTCAGTTTAATTGCTTTGCCGCTTAATTTATGGCCTTGTGGTTGCAGCAGGCACATGCCTAGCACAGAGTCTTTAAAACTCAATAATTCTTCATCTGCGCTCCATTTCTTTTTTATTGCCATTTAAAGATAGATATATAGACGGTGCTTTGATGAGATTCCCCCAGCCCCCCGCTGGTGCCTATCGAACACATTAAATCAGTCAGGTCATTGTGAGCACTGCTGACCCTAACAAACCCTCTGGGGCATTCAATCAATTACGGATGGCGGCGACTTTTTTAACTTGCTGTTGATTTTATTAACCGTGTAATGTGGATGCCCGCGCTCTTTTAACAGATGTGGTGTGGTTTTTGCTTCTAACAAGCGTTTTTTTTAACGGAATCCTCTTTGTAGCAAACGAATTGATCAGCTTACGCAATTCTGAGTAGCCATAGTAACAACGTGAAATGTGTTTTATAACTGCAGCGTTCGGTTGCTCATGCTGTTGTTGCAGGTTCACATCGTTAAGATTATGGGATTAGATCCTTACGGGGGTGGGGATTTGGGGTTAACTCTAATTGTTTCCCTCTTTGAGTC